CGCTAGAATCAAATTTAGATATTAAAGTGCATAAAAACGAAAACTGAAACTACAATCGCTTGTTAAAGTGACCCCCTCCCCTCTCATATTTACTGAAAGCTTGTTTTGGAGACACCATCCATCCCCTTTCAGATGACGTAATCATAGGGACATAACTTATGTTTTCACTTTGTCATACATGATGCCAAGGGTTAAAACTAAATACTTAATGGTCACACAAGTGTCAGCTCACAATATATAATAAATAGCACCAGCCTGAATATCTGAACACAATGTTTTTGAAAGATTAAAATAGGTGTATCCTTAAAAGACAGCCCCCGACTAATCCAAATTTGTGACTGTTGACTATGACGGTAAGTCATCCAATACTGTACTGAACATAGTTTATATGATATTATCTGAGGGCATACCGTTATCCAAAAGGTACCAAATGACAGATCGTTTTTCATTTTAAATTTTGTTAGAAATATTATACCCCAATGTGTTGTGATGAATAATATGTCGTTAACCACAGTACACACATATGTGAAAATTTTGGACATGGCTTTGGTACTGATTCCTTCTAAATAAAATGGAATCTTTTCAAACTTTGGTAATCGAGAATATACATAATCTACGTAATTTTTTATCGACCCTCGTAGGTGTCATTATTAGTTCTACATAACCAACATCTCATTGCATCTTCACTATGTATGCTGTAAAAATATTCGAAAATATATTATCAAAATATTGTATAATGTGTGGTTTCTACAGCTTTTAGAATGAAACTTACCTTCATGATTGAGAGTGGATGTTGTTGGGAAGAGGACGATTCTGCTGAAGACAAGATTATTTGGCTTTATATACCCTTGGTCGTCTCCACAGGACGTTCTATTGAATTAATGTGCTCATGAAAACTGCTGATTTTGCTTATTCAGGATCTAACACCCCCTGACACGCGAAGTAAGGGCATGGTTTATTGGTTAATTATAATACCATCGAGTGATCCGAAGTTGGAAAACTACTGCCTAAGTAAAGATTTTACTTCGAAACAACCTTGTGTTCGACATATCAAAGGTCGACACAACCATGTTTGACTGTATAATGGTAAAACAGCGTTTACCGATACGTATTTCCAAGATTGGTTGTCTGATATTTCAACTCCAAAATCTTTGTATTCATATTCCATATCCAAGACTTACATTGCTCGTGCCTTCTACTTATAAACGTTATCGGCATTGCAGTCACGAGATGTTCAACAAAATGGATATGAAATATAACAATATTACGTTTGGCTGGCTGGCTGGCTGGCTAGTTTGGTGGTGTGTTTTCATTGAAATTGAAATGTATCTTATATAATCTAATTGTGACGACAATCTGAATTCACGGTATATTTCGTTATGATGTCAGCTAATGTTTCACTCTCATTTTGTGTAAGGCTTATCGAATGCTAGAAAGTGAAAACGTGGCCTGGGGAGTATTTTATAGAGGAATATACTATTTATTTATCATAAATACCATGTAAAGAATGCAATTACATGATTTAATTGTTGGTGAGCTCCTCACTCTGCTGTTGGACGACGGTTTATAAATGAACAATATTCAACTCTGAACAAGACCAACTAGGGACCGATATTGTGAGCAATATCCTACGGCACTGCATGTGATCTAGATAGTCGCCTCTAACATATATTAATATTACACAGCAGGCATGCCATTGATTTTGTTTCTCAATTATTGTTCAGACATGTAGTGCAGTGGGTTAGTCCAGAGGACGGTTTTCTGCAACCATGATGTTCACTTGCATCATATACAGTTATGCCATATCAGATGAATCAAGTATTCTCCAGGGTAGCGTATGATTATTTTATTTACACTCTTCATCAATGACAACATGCACACTGCATCACATGTTCCTGTCGCCATCCTGACAAAATCTAGTTATCGTGCAGTTACACTGAAGCATGTCTTAGCTCCCTCATTTACAGCAGTTGTTCATCGCAGTCTAGTAGACGGATTTATAGTTCAGGCGCATATACATATAATGTACTACATCTGTCTTTTCTTCTACACCCACTGTAGAAATAAGAAAGTTACAGACCGAGGCCGAGGTCAGTAAGGGGCGTTTTTCGTTCAATGCATTCGACAAACAATGCAGTTACGAAAACATTTGACTTCTTGGTAAAATGAAGAAGATCACACGTGTCTAAATGACCTTTCATTATTACATTTGCATGTTCCGGATTTCGGACACGATCCATATTAATATAAAGTAACAATTTACTACTTTTAAGTATGTAGGCAAGTCCATGACTCAAGGTGACTGTTTTTCAAAATGTTTGTAATATTTTTGCCGTCATCGCCTTTGAAAAGCTGCCAGCCTCCAACGCTGGAAACCTTTTCAACAGCCTCGTGAATATATTGTAGTTTTAACTAAGTATCAAATAACGAGCATGAAAGTATCAATCTAATAAACATGAACCCATATGATTGCTGTCATGATGGTTTGAAAATGCTTCTCTAAAAACACGGGACCTTTTCAAACGCAAATATATTTAATCATCTGTACGGTTTTTCATTTCTCACACATGACAAACTTATCAGATAAGTAATTCATCAATAGATTGTTTAAAGAATTTATCATTACACGATGTAGATGACAACATAGATACAAAAACATGTAGTAGTAGCAGCACCGTATGACCCCGGGGCAATATGAATAAGGAGACTGCGATGAGGTAATGACGTTCAAAGGACACTCCCAACGACCATGCGACCCTTCATTAAAGTTTACGATGGACACCCTGGTGAGTATTCGCATTTTGTATACTCTCTTCAAATAATATGCTAATTTTAACAGCCGGAGACGTTCCTTTATAAGGATCGCGCCTCTTGTCTTTATCATCAGCATCCCCATCTTGCTCTGGTCATCATTAACTGTCTCCACAGCTCCTGCGAAAATGAAGGTAAAACACTTCCGAGCTATGTGTTACTTTAACGGAAAAATCTATTATGTCTGATAATTAATGAGCCCTGTTCATTGTTATATTTTTTTTCGTCAAAGTTGATTCTTTTCACCGTTACATTCAGTAATTTGTAAGATGCCCTTCATTTTACAAACATTCGATTTACCCTTACTAAAAGAGAGAAACAATTTTGACAGTCAAATATAACTGTCTTCAGCACTGCACATCAAACCATATATAATCCACATATAAATAATTTCTGGGCAGTTTCAAATGTGCTTTCGATTAAAAAATAACTTCATCAGATTTGCTTAAAAGTTTTCTTTTAATTATTTTTGAACACATTACTTGAAATTACATGTTCGGTAGACCGAGATAAAATCCTCCATGTGCATTATTTTTTCAGAGTAATTAGAAATCAGCGCAATTGTCATTGATACTGTAAATCATGTCTAAAATGTGTAAAATATATTTGAAATATTGTCCGTTTCGGTCCCTATTATCTGAACCTAAATGTACACGCTTATGAGTCTCTTTGCTGTATAACATTTGTCTCATTTGGTGAATGCGTTTTCCCTCAGGTCATCATCGCTGCGTTGTCCGTGCTGGTCTGTTCCACCCTTGCTCAGGTACCTCTCCGTGGTAACTCTCTCGTGGGTGGGCCTCTCGGTCTTGGTTTCAACAAAGGAGGCATTATTGGCAACGTTGGCGTTGGTGGAAAGGGCTATGGTCACGGCTACAATAACTACGGAAAAGGTGTTGCTGGTCCCTTCATCGCCGGACAAGGAGCTGGTCTTGTTGGACATGGTTCTCTTGTCGGTCATGCTGGTCCCTTTGATGGACACGGTCCAGTTGTTGGAGGACACGGTGTTGCTGGACACGGAAACGTCAATGGTGGACATGGTGTTGTTGGCACTGGATACGGATACGATTACAACCCCTACAACACCAACTACGGCCCCGGTAAAGGCATTGGCGGAGTCGGTCCTTTCGTCGCCGGACACGGAGATGGACCCTTTGCTGTAGGAAACGGACGATTTGTTGCTGGAAAGGGACACGGTTATGGTCACAACTCCTACAACGGTCTTGGCAATGGTCTTGCAGGAAAGGGACACGGTTATGGTCACAACTCCTACAACGGTCTTGGCAATGGTCTTGCAGGAAAGGGACACGGTTATGGTCACAACTCCTACAACGGTCTTGGCAATGGTCTTGCAGGAAAGGGACACGGCTATGGTCACAACTCCTACAACGGTCTTGGCAATGGTCTTGCAGGAAAGGGACACGGTTATGGTCACAACTCCTACAACGGTCTTGGCAATGGTCTTGCAGGAAATGGACTCCTTGGACACACCGGGAACGGCCTCGCTGGACCCCTTGCAGTTGGACACGGTGTTGCTGGTCACGGGTATGGCTATGGCTACAACCCCTACAACAACAACTACGGCTACGGTAAGAACGTCGTACATGGAGCTGGTCTTGTTGGAAATGGACTCCATGGACACACCGGACACGGCGTCGCTGGACATGGTCTCGTTGGACCTTTCTCTGCCGGACACGGTGTTGGTGGGCTTGGAGTCGGCCAGTTCGGAAATGGAGTTGGTATTGGAAAGGTCGGATTCGGCGGAGTTGCCACTGGCCATTACTACTAAAGACATTTGATATCTGATGAATGAATGGATGTGTTTTATATTACCTGGTTTCTTACTTGACATGTGTCATATTTCTTTAAAATAAAGAATAAAAACACATACATAACTATCGTATCGTTTTCTTTCGATAGATAATATGAATTTTGAAATACCTGACAGAGGTCGATAGTGTGCATTTTTATCATCAGTTGAATGTATCCTAACACTTTCTCCACAAGTTGTTTTGTTCTCTCTATTCTGAAAGAGGTATTTGCATTTCACTAAAAAAATATTCCAAAATCAGATATGCTTGCGGTCAATTTTGAGTAATGTTACTGTACATTTTCTAACCCAGACACGAAAGCAAGATTTAAGGACAGACGAACTTTCACTTAAAAAAAACGAACCGACATGACAAATCTACAAGCTTAGTTTCTCTCACATGAACATATATTTTCAAACGTTTAGGCACTAAGGAATACCAGTACAATATGTGTCACACATTAGAAACGCTAAAAAGAGAAACAGACCTGTAATATATTGACTGCCTACTATCACCAGGTGTAGTCAACAACGGTGATCATAGTCTTAAAAATAGAAACAGGATGAGTTTAAAACAACAACAACTAAAAAAAACCAAAAACCGAACTAATGCTCAGTTCATTCAAATGACCTTTCACAGGAAGGTAGACACTTCCATGTATTAAATGTAAAGTTGCACCAGAAATGCATTTAACTGGTCGTTACTTATACTAGCATACTCGTTGGCGTAACAAATATATTATCAGGAGACTTAACATGCCTGTGTTTAAATTTGTTATGTGAAAACTGTCAATAACCTTTACAGGGAACAAGGCAGTTTTAGCCGAATATGGGAGATACCCTTTGTATGTGAATTATATCTCACGAGTTGTTTCGTTCTGAATACGTCTGCTTCGGCAACCAGACACACGTTTCTCACGTCGCACGTATGATATGTTGAAACGTTTAGATGATAATGGAGATGTTAACTGGGCTTCGGCAGTACGATCAGTTATTTTCAATATGGCTTTGCTTATGTATGGATGTATGAAAATGTTGGAAACCGTGAATTGTTTTAAATCTTTTCAAACAACGTTGTAAAGACATGTACTACCAAGAATGGATGTAAGATATAAGAAACTCAAAGTAGAAGATCTAAAGACAATGACATTAGTGTAACTATGTGTGATTATTGTAAAAGTGTACCAGAAGATAAGTATCATGTGTTAATGAAATGTCCTTTATATGCGGCGGAAAGAACTCACAGTATCTGTATGTATGTATGTATGTATGTATGTGTGTGTGTATGTCTGTGTCTGTGTGTGTGTGTATGTATGTGCGTGCGTGCGTGCGTATGTATTGCCGCATTATTGCCGTGGTCGCAATCATAATTGAAGGCTCTTGCATATGTTGATATTTCAATATACCTAACATATGTATGTTTAAAAACGTGCTCACTCACTATATATCAGGTTGGAGTGAGTGAGTGAGTTAAAATTTAAAGTCACATCGACAATATTTCAGCCATATCGCGACTAACTTCATCTATAGTACATGTACATCTCTAAAAACTTGTCAACGAAGGACAGTAAAACCAACTAGAATATCACAGACACCCAAAAATAAAACTAGTATCTATCTCTAAAACTGGATTTCAAATTAGGACAATACAATATAAATAGATCGCCAGCAACCGAAGGTAAATCACCATACTAGGGACCATGGGGACTTACAGTAACTTTGCTACCTGCATGGACCCCAGCTCGATTTATACCATTTATACCGATTGTGGGAAAGTTAATCAATTTAAAATCACACAAACGCTACGTTTAAAAATTCTGGTAGGTTGACATGTACTTTGAAGGTTTTGGGACTTACGTATCCTCGCAGGAGGACAATAATTTTACAGTAACCCCTTTTGAAGATACATCCACTAACAATCTCAGTTGATAATCTCAGTGCTGGGATGAAGGGTGAAGGTAGAGGGCAAGTGTAATTTAACAAGAAAGATTAGCGCTAGGTATTAACATTCTTCTTTCCAACATTTCATATATTAATACACTATCAAGTAAAAATCTTTTCAATGACCGAGGTGTCTAACTTGTGACAGTAATCTCTGATTCAGTCTATTTTGTGATTCTCTGCCGCTTTTTTTGTTGTTCTCAGATGCTTTTGCTTGTAGTGCAATTTGTTTGCAATCAAATTTGACAACAACTACACTTGCTGTGTGTACTTCTTATTTCCTGAATATGAACGAAAACAGAATAAATGAGACATGTCGATACACCTTTTTAGACGTCATCGTTTTAATACGTCAGAGATCTAGAGTGTGGCATTATCACATAACCATTTCTTTGAACCTTATCACACATATACAAATGAAGACAGTGCATGCAACTCACAGAAGAGGTTATCTTTGACTTACATCTGGCATTGTAATTCTTCTGACACGTCATGTTCACAGTGGGACGTTCACGTACATGACACAGTGAACGACCAAACCAGCATGCCCCTTACTCCGGCACTGACCGATCTATTTCATCCGTAGGTGGTTTTATGTTTGAGATCTGTTGGCAATAACCAACATGTCAATTTTTGTCACGTTTGGTGCAATACATGGCTGTATTTTTAAATAACTCCAAGTATCCTCCAAGCTGTTGACATGTTGATATATATTAATAAAAAGCCCGATGCCGCAACAGTGACCAAAATTAATGTCCGACGAAATCTCCTATTTTGACCTTAACCATGTACATGTATACATACTGATCGGAATCGCACAGTGGACACGAGTGTCAAAATATATTTCCTATGACCATGGACAGGCTTGTATTGCCTATTGTATTTACAACGACAATCCCGTCTGACGTGAACCTAACGTACAGTGTATGCAATGTTGTTTTCATGTAGCAGAAGAAATGGTTTAGTACCACAGTAGGGTTAAATAAATCAATTACGAAAGACTATAGTTTACACTACAAGGCAATATTTTATTACACAAGCAGTATGTTACTTCTATTTCTTGGGGCGGCGGGATAGCCTTGTAATTAAAGCGTTCGTTCGTCACGCCGAAGACCCGGCACAATGTGTGAAGCCCATTTCTGGTATCCCCAGCCGTCATATTGCTGGTATATCGCTAATTGTGGCGTAAGATTACACACTCATTCACTCACCATATCTTAATACGTTTCGTACGTGTGTTTTATTGTATAAATTGTTTTCGTCACGAAATGGCTGAGATATTGCTGATGTGACGTTAAATATTAACTCACTCACTCACTCGTTGGTGTGTATGGTTATCAAACGATCAATGTACAATTAATATGGCACACTTATTTTATCCAATAACACACTGTATAACTGCCACCACCGTTTTAGTGAACACGTATATCACATATATCTCATGTTCCATCAACATCCATGGGAAATATATCAACATATGAATCTTGATAGGAACAGTATCAAACATCATTAAATGACTTTCTTTTAGATTAAGTCACCCTGCATGTTTTAATGGCCTCAAAGGTAATTTTTTGTCATGATGTGCTCATAAAATGTTGACAAAGTCTTCTTAAATCAGCCTTTTAAACAATATTAAGTTTTAACTGAATTAAGCCTCCAACACGAGAGTACTCAAACTGTAAACGTCTTAAAGCGCAAGTGTACACGAAAATTAACCTTTTGGTCTTGCACTTTTTCATCATAAAAAGTGTTTATCAAGTAGTTTTATACCCAAACCCGTACATATATCAGAAGTAATTTATCTTTGCGTTATAACAATTCATATTTTCAACATTTACCGAGAGTTCTATGTCCGCAATAAACACACCATGGCTTATGTCCCTTGGAAATGACGTCATTGGTGCCCAAACGATAAATGAATGACGTCGTTAGACCTTATTAGACCCATTTCACGTGGTGAAGGTATAGGTGTGGTTCTTGTGTCTCGATGCGTGGGCTACTGTTTTAATCCACCGGTTGCTTGGCCGTCAGCTGACTATGTGGTCAGTTTTACACTGTAATGACATTGCAGTTTGAAAAAACGTATACATTGTACTAACAGTGTTACCACGTAACCAAATTGTATAACATATTCAACCCGAGTCGGTCGCCTTTTCTAACAGTATCTTTTTTCACAAAAACTAAAACGTATATGCACTACATCTAGCTTGCCATCGGTGAATGTGCCGGAATTCTACGTTTCTTACTAAAATTCCTACATAAATCTTACGATATGTCCCTCCTCTTCCACCTTCACTTTGATATCGATAGTACATATCCAAATACATCACGCAGATAAATGCAATTTGCAGTTTGAACTCTGTTTGAAATTCGTTTTTCTATGATATATCCGCTCATTGTAGATCAAATATACTGAAAAGTACATTCATCGTAAATCTCGCCAGTTTTGACACATTACTAAATCACCATTTACTGCGTTTTGCGTAATTTATAGTATACACAGACATTATATAGTGTATAGTATATAGTGACACAGACATCCTACCATCAGAAAATGCCCGGAATCTTGGTGTCATCCTTGATTCCAATATGTCCATGGATGCACACATCACCTCCATCAGTAGAGCCTGCTACTACAACATCCATAACATCAGCAAAGTCCGCCACTACCTCGATACTGACACTTGTAGACTTGTCTTGTCACTTCCAAACTCGACTACTGTAATTCACTATATGCCAAATATATCACTCCAGAAACTTCAAAGAATCCAAAATTCTGCTGCCAGATGTATCACCCACACTCATCGTCATGACCATATCACCCCATTACTACAGTCTCTACACTGGCTCCCCATCTCTGCAAGAATTACCTTCAAAATCCTCATTCTGACTCATGACTGCCTCTACAATGATAACTTTCCTGACTATCTCAAACACCTCATCTCTGTGTATGTACCTCAGCGAAGTCTCCGATCCTCATCTGGCTCTCTCCCAACCCAACACAGATCTCCAAACCAACTGTCTGACCGAGCCTTCTCCTATGCCAGCCCTAAACTGTGGAACTGGCTTCCAAAGGAAATCAGGAACGCTTCATCGAAAGAAACTTTTAAATCTCTGCTAAAGACCCATCTATTCACTGCTGCCTTTCTGTAAAGTTATATGAACTATTTGCCTTCACCAATATTGTCACAGCGCCACTGAGCATCTCTATGGTGGATATTAGGCGCTTTATAAACACATTATTATTATTATGTCTTAATTAAAATGTAAAATTTTACTGGGAGAATTGAATTTAAAAGAAAAAGACGTATCATTGTGATCAGCGGTAGTTTTGTTGTATGATCGAATCACCAATGCTCGTTCTGAAACATTGTCGATGAACCGGGAATCGCTGAGAATGTTTTGGAAAATACGCAAACACAATTAACGTCAAAGTGAATTTTCAGAGTGTTTATAAAATCACGTCACATGTATGTCGGTTATGTTTCGTCCATAAAATTAATTGTATAAGTCAACACCATCTTCCTTACATGAATCCCTGAATTCCTCATACAGTTCAAAATAAACTGACAAATGGACTCTGTCACCAATACGAAGTGTTTCAGTGAGTTCTAACGAAATATATCGAGGATATAAGATGCCGCGCTAGGAAAAGACCACTTGTTTGAAATGTAAGCCAATCTCAGAGTTTACACTGTGTATCCGGTCACCTACTTGTTACATACACTTGCTCATTAGTTTTAGAACATGCATGGGAAAGGTATCGTAGCAAGTGATACCTTTAAATAAAATAGGTGTATTCCAATGATTTTCTAGATTCATCACAACAAATTATAGTTTCTGAAAGCATGACTCCATGACTGACGCAAACTCACGCACAACGATGACGGTACTTCTCTCTTAGTTTCTGACTATTTCCCTCGGTCACAATGAAAACAGAAAGAAAATAACAACCAGCAGACTTGTCACATTTATGCATATACGTTGCTTGAAACAACGAAAATTTCCTGGCGTACTCGTGTCAGTGAACACGCCATTTTGAAAAAGTCGCTTCCCAATAGTGATGTCATACAGACGTCAACATTGTTATACATATTTGGTATTTTCATTGAGGTTAGGTTATGAATGAAAATACACACGATCAATCCGCCCTGCTGCTTACATTTTCTGTTCTTATGCTTTCACGTCATTAATTTTACATTCTTATTTCACGTCATTAATTTTAGTATTATTATCTTTTGATTTGGGACTGGACAGGACACCAGTTTAAAATCAAGTGGTACCAATTACGGTGGTAACTCTGGCCTGTTTAGCTCGGCAAACAAAGGCCTCATATCGGCATAACATTTTAACACTTATTTTGAGGGTAAAACTTACATTGTAAGAAAAATGAGTGTATATTTTCAAACATTGGTATTAACTAATTAAAACAGTTCACTTTGATTCACATAAGAATAAATGTGATTTATTCGTGTACACTTCCCCTTTAACTCTTGTTTTGTATATATTTCTCGTTAAAATAAGATTTTTGATAACACGAGCAGTATACCCTTCGTTAGTAAGAATAATCAGTGTTGATAGACTCAAAATATTGTATGTGCAGTTTATCAACAAAACCATGATATCTTACACAAAAGCAAGACTTTTGAAAAATATATAATGCGTCCCTTTTGTTCAGGAACAATTTTGCAGGATGTAATCAAGGGAAAAAAGAGCGTAAACGAACATTTCCTTAAAATGTACCTGACCCTCAGACAACATGAATAGATAATTAGAATATGATGAGGTAATGACTTTCTGAAGTAGTCCCCATGACCACGTGACCCTCCATAAACGTTTACGACTGAGATCCTGGGGTGTTTGTTTAATTTGCATACTCTCTTCCAACAATATGCTAACTTTAACAGCAGGAGAGGTTCCTTTATAAGGACCGTGCCTCCTGTCTCTAGCATCAGAATCCTCATCCTGCTCTGGTCACCATCAACAGTCTCCACAGCTGCTACAAGAATGAAGGTAACGCATTACTTCACGTGAACAATGTGATACATGAGGTGAGAGTCAAAGCTGATGTCGGTGGTATTTCACCTATATTTTTATGTACTAATTAGTAATAAGACCTTCACTGATACACAAATTCACATTACTCAACATTTACAGAAACATTTGGACATGAATAAAGGTATCTTCATCAGTGTATATTAAATTACATAAATAATGTTTTACTCAGTTATTCATTGGTTCCTGATAACAGACTGGAAGATAAATAGTTAAAATTCGAGGGGGATCTACTTGTCAAATGTTATGTTATGATCCAATACTCCACGCATTCCCTTGTTTAGTTCAATCAAGATTCTCGTTCCACAGCGTTAGTGTCACGAATAGAATTATGTGATATGTATGCATTGTTGTGCCAAGTATTTGAGCACATGGAAAAAATTGATGAGATGGTATGGACTATTTGAATAAATAACTCAATAATATGTAACAGTGCAGAGAGTAGGATTCAGTGGACAGGGAAGCATAAAATTTGATGTATTTCTTAACGCGAATGCACATGTTGGTCAGTGCCGTTGCTGCACAGCATTTGTCTCATTTGGTCAATTTTTGTCCTTAGGTCGTCATTGCAGCCTTGTCCGTGCTGGTCTGTTCCGCCTTTGCGCAGGTACCTCTCCGTGGTAACTCTCTCGTGGGTGGGCCTCTCGGTCTTGGTTTCAACAATGGAGGCCTAATTGGCAACGTTGGTGTTGGTGGAAAGGGTTATGGCTACGGCTACAACCCAAAAGGCTACAACAACTACGGTTACGGAAAAGGTGTTGCTGGTCCCTTCGTCGCCGGTCACGGATCTGGTCTTGTTGGACAGGGACCTTTCGTCGGTCATGCTGGTACACTTGCAGGACATGGAGCCTTTGCTGTAGGAAACGGACCCTTTGTTGCTGGAAAGGGACACGGCTATGGCCACAACTCTTACAACGGACTCGGCAATGGAGTTGGTCTTGTAGGAAATGGACTCCTTGGACACACAGAACACGGCATCGCTGGACCCCTTGCATTTGGAAACGGTGTTGCTGGTCACGGGTATGGCTATGGCTACAACCCCTACAACAACAACTACGGCTACGGTAAGAACGTCGCACATGGAGCTGGTTTTATTGGAAATGGAGTCCATGGACACACCGGACATGGCGTTGTTGCACCCCTTGCAGTTGGAAACGGTGTTGCTGGTCACGGGTATGGCTACGGTTACAACCCCTACAACAACAACTACGGCTACGGTAAGAACGTCAGACATGGAGCCGGTCTTGTTGGAAATGGAGTCCATGGAAACACCGCACATGGCGTTGCTGGACATGGTCTCGTCGGACCTTTCTCTTCCGGACACGGTGTTGCTAGGCTTGGAGGCGGCCAGTTCGGAAATGGAGTTGGTATTGGAAAGGTCGGATTCGGCGGAGTTGCTACTGGCCATTACTACTAAAGACATTTGATAGTAATTTCTGATGTATGAATGAATGGATGTGTTTTATACTACCTGGTTTCTCACTTGATAAATAAAGAATACATATGAATAGCTATGTTATATTTTCTTTCGATAATATCAGTGCTTCACTCTGACGGATGTGAAGAATGCGTATTTTTGTCATTACTAGTTATGTTTGATACATCTTTAAGAAGACAAGATTCAAATTGTGACAGCTTAATGAAAGCTCGATCAGTGATCATTACTCTTGCTGTTAATACAGAATAGTGTAAATCCGTTAGTACTCCGCTACGACGTAAAATACAAAACATTTTCCAAATGTTTTCACAAATTGTAAGGAAGCATGATTAGCTTTCACTAATGTGCACATTTGCGTCGCCATGTCAAGTCTAAAAGATACGTAACTCACACGCAAACAAATATGTAACGTTTGGATCAACGACGACGAAAAAATGTCAGTAAAACTTGATTAATGCGTCAGAAACGCAAAACGGTACAGATCAGTCATATATTATTAAATGTATCAAACAAATAAATAATTTGCTAACCACATATTTGCCATGCTAATTTCATTGTAATAGTATAGTATTCCTAAGGGTCAGACGTCTAAACTAGACACACTCAAATGTTGAATAATCTCTGTCAGGAATTGAAAATTTGTTTACTGTTTTGATGCAAATTTAAACCAGAGATACATTTACTTGCTGTTACTTCTTATCGGAGGAAAGGAGACATAAGATTACACCTATTCTCTCAATACAGACAGAGCTGCTGTATTTGAAATCAAAGCGGTAGGAAACGTAACATCCATGTCAAAACGTGTATCACATTTTGGCTGATTACTATTATGCAAATGGAACTTCATTAATATAACAATAAAATATTTTATCACTTGAAGACATTTTTATTATGATAATAAACAAGCAAATACAGTATGAAGAAGGCATGAGGCCCTTTTTGACAACATATACATGTATATATGATGCAGGTTATCGTTTAGTATGTTGTGAATCCGATTTCTTGAAATATGTTAAATAGTCACAAAAATACACATTTACACACAAAAAAGAATTGATATGTGATTTCATTGTTACATACCGAGCAACAACCAACTACAGTCATCCCGCAATGAGCGCATATGTAGCTTGTAGACACTTCTGTCAGGCTGTGACGTTGTAGACTATTTGTGGAGAGACTTTTCTGTTGTTTACAGTGTATTTATCGAAAATGAAGTGATATTCCTATATTCTCGGAATATAAAGAGGCAAAAGTGATGCTATGTCCTGTGTGTGGGCGTAATAGTTTACCAAACTAAAGAACCAAGTATCATGTCTTCAGATTTCCAGGCACAAAGACCGATTCAGAGAGTGGAAAGTTTAAGTACATCGATGTTCTCTTTCTACCATCACCACAAACCAGATAAAAGAACAAGCATCTTTGTAAGTCCCCAGCGACACTTGCCGAGGCGTTTGTTACATCTGTACACGGTACATCACATCACATCACATCACATCACATCCCAACAATGGTGATTCACTCAACGTCTTATTCCACGCATACAAACCATCAATCAGATTGACATTCATAGCACTCCTGCAAGGCGGTTACTACGTTTACATCCTAAAAGAAAATTAAAGTAATCATAATATCACTGTAGATATCAGATGCTACTGTAACATCTTTACCATCTACAAGGTAGGTATGACAACACTGCAGCAGTGTTTAAAATCAATTTAATTTACAATTCCAAAAAAAACCTCTTCTTGCAGCACCTAAGAAAACCTTTCTTTTAAATCTAATAAATCAATATGTTGAGTACTGGTCGTCGCAGCCGAGAACAAACTTGCTGCGCTATGACGCCACATTTATAGACATATCGGACAGCACCCTCTAGACCAAGCATTACCTCCCCTATTTTCTGGTTTGTCCCTAAACAGAAATCAATTTCTGTCTAAATCACCCAGCTCAAACGTTAGAAAGTTCATTCAGCATGGAGATATATACTCATGGAAACGAGTAATGGAACACATGAAAGTACCCATTTTCATATATTTATTTCCATAATATCACCCACTGTGCAATACATACCGTGTGAAGAAACCTGGAAAAGAATAAAGGAACTCATGTACTTTCATGTTGTCCCTTATTCATTTCCATGATTATATGTAGTGTTCTCTCTGATCACACAACTGACAAACATGTCACTAACTTAAAGTAAAGGACAACTCTGTTTTCTCCACAAGGACCCATCTGAGTGTTTACAATGCCTCTGTGACGCAACTGGATCCACTACCGATGAATACTTAAGTCATATTCTGTGTCTAAATCTAGGATACGTTATTGAGTTGTTTTAGGTTAGAGACGTGAGTGTGGTGTTCACGTCAAGAGACAGTATTCTGAGTTTGGAATTTCTAAATATGATAATATTACTTATTTGTTGTTAAAAAATATATCTGTTTATTGCAGTTTTGGTCTGTTTGTGTTTTACCACATTACTTGGAAGACGATGTCATACAGATGGATGTTTTTGGGCAAGACTGATCATTTAAGACACGAACTAAGCCAAATGACAGACACTTACATCCGTCCATTGAACATTTAAGTGCATATGATTACAACTGTGTAGTAAGACAATACACGTAATACAATATTCATTTATTCAGTGAACAAATTTAGCTTTAACTCATTGGTAATTGTTTCTCAAACAAAGTGTTAAATAACAGCAACAGAACCCTCTCCACGTTCATTCAAAAAGTAGGGCAAGCCATCTGAAACCGCATTCTCCAAAAGTAATTGTAAGCGTCAAACTACTATACATTAGGCATATATCACGCAAGATTAACTGTTTCACATTTGTTATATAAATCAGACCATCAATTTCAACCAGAACATCAATTTTGTCCAGAAATGTGACCAGAAATGTTTTAATACCAAACTCTGTTCCCGAATCTTTCTGTGTTGACACTGACTGTTCACTCTATCGATATATATTCGCTGCTTTCAAGACAATTTTGACTGATATTGATAAAGAAGGATATGCATAAGGTAAATTCTACCATGACTTCATTAAACACTGGATGGTGATTGGTTAATAAAAGTCATTCAGAGGTATATAATCACGTTATACAGGTATCTGATTTTCCGTGCGCAATCATACATGGTTTACGGTAATGCACTATTTTTGTCTGCACAGCAACATGGCGGACACCAAACAACCTACCGATGCATCTATAAATTACGGCGATTTTGCTGTCGGAAATTACACATATGTCTTTAAAGATGGATTTAGCGATGACGGGCTCGACTCACTACTGGCGTAAATCACAGCAATAGGTGTTTATACATACAAAAGTACTTCGAAAGCATGGAAACAAATATTCAGTCGAACAAGATCAAAACATCGTCTGCTTTCCGAATAAAAAATCAGCAAGAACAAATATGTTTACATTGATTCTATGTTATGTCAGAATAGATCCAGAAATAGACTGCTACATAATTTCCGTGTTAAATTTATTATCAGCTTTCGTCAACGATATCGCCACTGATCTTGATCCGGTAACGGAGGGTGCATTAACATCGAACGCCGAAGAAATTTTAATGCCTTCCGTCCACATAAATAAACAGTTGGGTTATCAGTTCAAACAAAATGATATTTTGAAATGTGTACTGTTTCAAATTTAGCGGTAGTAATTACAGAATCTGCAAACCGTTCTGTTTAGCCCAACATATTTTTTTCTAAAAGTATAATATCGTTGAAAAAGTTATTTAGCTTAGTCATGATCCCTCTTATCCATTACACTGCTTGATCTAAAGTAGTCGTATTAAAGTATAATTAATTACCTTACCGTGTTTATGCCAGAGGTACACCCTCATGTCCTGTTCCATCCTTTCGGAAATATCACCACAAATCTGGCTCTTTGTCAGCAGCCTCGCGAACATGCAAGCGTATCCGATTCAATTTGAATTCACTACACTTTGAAGCCACTAGGTCACAAAACACTTTCCAAAATGTAGAAAATAATATCCGTAGAATCGAATTTGAGCACAAAGTACACACATGAGTGTGTAAGGGTCACCACAGCTGTCGCACGCAGACGTAGAGGTGCGTGAAGTCGTCAAGTTGACAGGGCGCAAAATTCAACAGTATCTAAATTCGGTACAACACGGACTTCTCGTTACAGCAAAAGCGCCTCTACTCTTAAATTTTGTACCAGTATACCAGTAATTAGATATCAAAGACTATCTCAGTCATACAATCAGGTTAACCTTGCGCAAACTGTCAGAGGCTCTCCTGTCGCATCTTTCCAAATTTGCACGTAAATGTAAACAATGATTTCCGAGACAAGGTCAAGGCCATGAGGTTGCTGCCATTATTCTGGTGGGGAAAGGGTCTACGGTGGAATTTTCAAATGTGAACCAAGCTTTTTAAACTTATTTGATATATGTTTTCCAACTTATCAGTTAATGATCGGTGATGAATGCATTGAAAAAAACAACGTGATTAGTTATTACTGAATCTGGAGTTTGTTAGTTATTGACGGTATGCCACCAATCACCCCGTTTCGGGCGATGCCACTTGAGATTGGAATGCGAGGCCGCTTCACGTATTGACTCATAACCAAAGAAAGAGTTCCAACTGAAATTGTTCATAAAATTGTCATGGTAGAATGGAGATAAACCTACTGTGTTGGAAAATCAGAGGTATATAACGAAATTATAATAGCTCTAAATTGTTCATTTAAAACCTCACGCTACGCGTTCGGTTTTAAATGAAATTTAGAGCTATTATAATTTCGTTATATACCTCTGATTTTCCCACACAGTAGGTTTATCTCCTAATTGAGATAAAAAGTAACATTTTCATCTTTAGCATTGTCTAGAAATAATGATGCCATGGGTGAACGCTTGTAACAACCACAACACGGAAACAGTGTTCACCTGTGAGTGGTCTCCATTATGACGTAAGGTGATGTGATCGGGCCAATAACCCTTGACATATTCAGGTATATGAGTCTGATTTTACGTTCTTTAACAATCTTTCATTGCTTGGAGTTGAATTCCCGACGATCAAGATAGTTTTTATTGTGATATTGAAAGCTCACGAATATAGTCCAGACAAATATTTAAGGGTATGCAAACATGTATTATGTCGAAAGAGACTGACATGTTTTGCTACTATAATTTATACTGTATCTACATCTCGGAGTTTACATCAGGTGTTGGTTTACAATTGACGACCACTAGCAAGATGGCTTATATACGTGAGTCATTCATCACATGTCCCCGCCGTGATATTGCTGGAAAATTGCTAAAAGCGGCGTAAAACTCACTCACTCACTCATCACATGTTCATGTAATTCTATTAATAAAAAGTGTTACTTTTTTAAATAGAAGACGTACATTTTGTGACTTGTCTACCTTATACATTTCTTTCTTTAATATTTATACACATAGGTCATACAACATTTGCCCAACCCTTTAACATTTTAATGTCAATAAATAGTTTATAACAAAATATATATAAAAAAAACCCAAAAAATCCAAAACACCCACAACCTAAAATCATATTCATAAACCATTCTGCTTGATAACGGGGTAAGAATCTACATAGAAACGCAATCTCTATGAAATGAATAAGAAATTATGATCCATAAAGTTGTATGTTTCATTTCTGATCCACGAACTTCTAGAATGCCGATCAAACAATTATAAAGTATTCTCGTTGAAGATTTAAAATCTAAAAACTGAATCAAACTAACTGTCAAACGAAAGAATTGCAATGATGTGAACAACACTCAACAAAGCATACAGCCCATCCCAGAATCTGACATCATCCCCCCACACTTTTAGAGCCCTATTGACTTAATATATCTATGTTTATTACAGAATAAACACATAGTGTTTTGCATGTTTTGCATGTAAACATGTATCTCACGCATGTACACGTGCGACATAAACCGGACATTATTTGTTTTTAATCTATCTAAATATACATTGATGTGTGAGATACGTTGGCACCTAGCAACGGTATATACGATATATACCTTGTTACACAACTTACTTTGACTTAGACCGTGTTTTTCAGGTAAATAGTTGAATTCATTTGCATCCGTCTGTGACGTACGCCATCTGTTGGTCAAGAAACACTAATGTTTCTCGATATATATATTATCATAGTAAGTAGCAGTAGGAATTGTTCAGTAACATAATTAACTTAAACTTTAGTAAAATTATTAGCTAGGTTTAAGCGAGGGACAAGAGGCTTCTTTTTATTCACTATATTTCACATTACAATTCAAAGTATATTACACAATGCATTATGCTGATCATAGTTGTTAATAGGTTCCGTACTAGGGTGTATACATAGATCAAAAGATTGAAATTCAATGAATACAGAACAAATATTTTGTCTAATGTCACACCAAATAAATAATGAAAACCGTCTGAGAGACAACGTATATTGCATCTATTGTCGTATCCCTAATGTGTTATATTACATCCGTGAAAAGTGTATGAACATGTGAATCTTGATATCGGCTCTTTCTTAGATGATGTTCATTAAAATCCCTCATCTGTTTATCATTACTGTTTTTACTTTTCTTGTTGTCATGATCTCAAAGGCAATCTTTTGGTCATAACTTGCTCATTATTAAATATTAGGGAACAGTTTTTTTCAAACCCCCCCCTCCCTTCTCAAATCAGACATTGGATTAGCACGATAAAGTCAAACACGAACATACTGAAATTGTCAGCGTTTTAAATGTAAAATGTATTTCACCATGCCATATACAAACACAATATATACAATACATACATCAGATAACTAAATTATATACCTTTATTTTGGAACAGTCTTGAGGGAATTAACCATGGAAAATGATAACATTTTTCTTACCAATACATCATGTAAATGATAAAACAGATGGTTCATTATGTTATTATCAATGACACATTAGCTTGATATCCCAATAGGAAAAAGGCATCTTCAGTGCCATGATTACTATCAACGTTGAACCCTGGGGCAATATGAATAGAAAATTGGACCGTGATGAGGTAATGGAGTTTTACAATTGTCCGCATAACCACTGGGTCCTTCATTAAAGTTTACGACTGAGATCCAAGGGTGTTTGGGTATTTTGCATACTCTCTTCAAACACTATGCTAATTCCGTCAGTCGGAGTACTTCCAATATAAGGACCGCACACCCCGTCTCTGTCATCATTAACCTTATCCTGCTCTGCTCATCATCATCAGCTGTCTCTTAAACAGTTACTGCTACAATAATCAAGGTAGCGCATTTCCTGGCTACGCTTTAGTTTACCTGAACAATGTATTATATTTCATGAACGATTAGCCCTGTTTATTCTCTTTCCCTGTCAGCCAATGTTGATGTCGTTTATATTTTATATTTACTAGTTACTCATAGGTACTTCTCTGACGCATAATTTCGTCATATTCAACTCTGATGGGAAAACATGGGAAAATTCAACCGTTTGCAACAGTGTATGTTAACTTAAACTGAGACATGTAAAATTGTTTTACATAATAGATACGCATTTGTTCCTGACAACAACAACTTACTAAACCTAGAGTTAGAATGTTTAATTTCGACTGAAAAAGTAGTTCGATGTAAGCAGGGTTGCCATGCCATGGTTAAATGTTCTACGTATCATCCTGGGACGCCTTGTTTAATTCAATCAGGACTCGTTTCTCAAAAGTTTTTTTAAAGATTTATTTGGAGTCTCGACGACATATCTTCCAGTGCATTCATTTCCAACGCGCATTTTCATGTTTATCTGATGTTTAAAACCCTTAATGTTTTTTCATTTGTCTCATTACGTCAATGCGTTCTTTCTCAGATCGCTATCGCAGCGTTGTTCGTGCTGGTTTGTTCAACCCTTGCTCAGGTACCCATCCGTGGTAGGCCTGTCGGTCTTGTAGGGGTTGTTGGTGGCAAAGATTATGCCTACGGATACAACCCAAAAGGCTACAACAACTACGGCTACGCAAAAGGAGCGGCTGGACCCTTTGTAACCGGACATGGATCTGGTCTTTTTGGTCAGGGACCTTTCGTCGGTCATGCTGGTACATTTGCAGGACATGGAGCCTTTGCTGTAGGAAACGGACCCTTTGTTGCTGGAAAGGGACACGGCTACGGCCACAACTCCTACAGCAGACGTGGCAATGGAGTTGGTCTTGTAGGAAACGGACTCCTTGGACACGCCGGACACGGCCTCGCTGGACACGGTGTTGCTAGTCATGGGTATGGCAACGGTAACTCCCCCTACAACACCAACTTCGGCTACGGTAAGAACGTCGGACATGGAGCTGGTCTTATTGGAAATGGAGATTGGAATCGTAACGTGGACTCTCGGATCAGGTGGTCAGGCTCGCTGACTTTGATGACACATGTAATCGTATCCCAATAGCGTAGATCAATCTTCATGCTGTCAATCACTGGATTGTCTGGTCCAGACTCGATTATGTACAGAACGCCGCCATATACCTGGAATGTTGCTGAGTGCTGCGTTAAAGAAGAAAAAAACAACCCACCATTAAACAGTTATAAGATGTAAATTAATTATTGAAGTTTCAGACACATATAATCGAAAGGATTAATTTTCATATACTATAGTTCACACTTCAGTTGAGACATACACATGTATATGTATATTAAACAAAGCATTATGTTAATGATACTTGCTGTGCATTCCGTACACATGTGTATATATGCCACAGGAAATGTGTGAAACAAGGGATTTCACGTAATCCCTAAAGAGCCAGTGATTTCCCAGGGATTTCATATATTCCCTAAAATTTCAAGGTATTCATGAAATTACTGATTTTTATGGTGTTCCATTACACACATTCCTTGTCAGAATATCAGTGAATGTGTGAAATTAACGTTTGAAGCTTAAAACTTTTTGCAGTAAAACAATTCAGTGTTGAGTCTCATTTAATCCTTCGTTCTTAGGAGTGGAAAACTTTGACATTTTACTGAAGATACTCTTGGCTAATAACTACCTTGAGTTGGGGTGCCATGGTCATTTTCTCGCGGTTTTACTCTTGTCGGAATCATGTTTGTACAATTCCAAAAGAATTCGGCACTTTAGGCAGGTATTAAGGGCAGTCCGTATAAAGCGTTATTTGGATGTCCCAATAAGGCTGGCCTGACATCATCCTCATTACCTAACGATGTCATCGAATGATTTAGAAACAGAAGAAGAGCTACTCCGACTCGTTAACCACGACAGTACTTCAGGAACATTCCTGGTGTGGTTATGCATCACGATCAAGCTAATGACAATTATGGAATATGCGTGAAATCCCGTATCTTTAAAGGTTTGTTCACGCGTTCTCAATTTGTTGTAATAAAATACTCAGCCCATGTTAAGCCAATAGAATTAAAACAAACAAACATTGAATACTCTTATTTATGAAACTCAGACAGGTTTTATAGCTCGAGTGAGTGAGTGAGTTTGGTTATACGCCGCTTTTAGCAATATTCCAGCATTATCATGGCAGGGAACACCAGAAATGAGCTTCACATATTGTACCCATATGGGGATCGAACCGTGTCTTCGGGGTGCCAAACAAACGCTTTAACCACAAGGCTACCAAACCGCTCTTTTATACCTGGAAGGTGTATTAGTGAGAACATTTGATATGACATTATGTTTGAAATAAAATTACAAGGTAAAAAGGGACTCGTGTTACTCATTGACTTTGAAAAAGCTTTTGACACTGTCTCGAAAGAATTTATAATTCTAACAATTGGAAAGTTTGGCTTTGGACCCAATATGGAAAAATGAATCAAAATATTAATCAATAATGCTACACCATGTGTTATACAGACTGGGCATTTATCACACTTTTTTTATACCAGGCGACCCAGTCTCTCCCCCTCCGTATTCCTCTTAGTGGCTGAAATCTTAGGAATAATGATTCCGTAACAGCAGTGCAATAAAATGAATTACATTAAATGATATTGAACATAAAATGCACAATATGCAGACGATACTGAATTATTTCTTGATAGATGTGAAGAAAGCTTATGAGCAGCAATTGACACTCTCAATAATTTGTACAAAATATCTTGTTTAAGAAGATTGATAAAACTAAAGCAGTTTGGGTAGGCTCAATGCCGGGTAGTGGCATCATTTTATGCCAGGATCTTAAGCTTGATAGGCATACTGGGAATTTTGATATTCTAACTTAAATAAGCTTTGGATGATTAATACAGCGTAATGTTAATGAAATTTCCAGTATTTCCTACCCATATGGACTTCTGTCTTACCATTTACGAGTTCTGTTGCATTATGCATATTGTATATACATGTGTATCCAATGGTTTGAATGAGTGAAAAAATGAAAAGTGTCTCTCCGGACTGCTGTGGAGGGTTTCCAGAACTGTAACTGGGGCCAATGTAATCGATACGTTGTAAATGTTTTATAGCGGGACTGATCATGAAGTGTGATAGCCGGTGTCATAACAGTCTATCTTGTCCAAACAAATGAAACCCATCAGCACATACTCTGTACTCGCATTATAAATTTGTTCTTCTCTGTTTCAAAAAAGGCTGGCAATTTTAGGGAATACATGAAATCCCTGGGAATCACAGCGATTTCACGAAATCACTGACTCATATGTAACATATATTGATCAAAAGATAAGAATTCAATTAATATGACCACATTGTTTTATCTAATATGACACTGAATAACGTATCAAAACCATTTGAGAGAAAACGTGTATTGCATCTCTACTATATTACATCCATGGAAAGCGAATACGAATTTTAGTAAAAAAATGTTAGATGTGTTTTAATGACGTTCATTAAATCCCCGCATCATGTATTTTTTCTGGATTTCATATTCAGTCCGAAGTTTGAGAGTGTCAGCAAATAAATGACCTATGCTAAAAACTGTTTCTACTTCACTTTTGATCATGACCTTAAAAGGTCTTTTTTGGTCACAGCGTTCTCTTTATTAAATATTAGCGAACGCTGTCAATAAACTCAGACTTTTGATTAATTAGGACGATACAGTTTAACTGTGTGAAACATTAAACGTGAAACATGTCAGAGTATTAATCTCACTCATAGGAACATCATATCACATTCAAAATGTTTTGTAAAATGTTTCCCCCTGAAATGGGACCTTTCCATATATCAGTAGTACATAATTCAGTAGTTCTTTGCAGAAATAATTAGTGTTTAAATTGTCAAAAGTATTTCATGTGCCGTGTTTCAAGAAACAACAGTATCGTATACAGAACACATGGCAAGCATATCAAATAACTGAAATATATCCCATTATTTTTCTACAGTTTTGGGAATTAATCATGGAAAATTATAACATCTTTTTTTACCAATACATCATGTAAATTATTTAAACAGATTGTTCATTATTTCATTATCAATGACACATTGACACATCGATGATATCGCTACAGAAAAAGGCATCTTCAGTACCTACGAATACCATCAACGTTGGACCCCGGGGCAATATGAATAGAAAATTGAACTGTAACGAGGTGATGGCGTTTCACAATAGCCCGCATAACCACTGGGTCCTTCATTAAAGTTTACTACTGAGATCCTGGGGTGTTTCCGTATTTTGCATACTCTCTTCAAACACTATGCTAATTATTACATCCAGTGTAGTTCCTATATAAGGACCGCACATCCCGTCTCTGTCATCATTAACCTCATCCTGCTTTCGTCATCATCAACTGCTACAATAATGAAGGTACTACATTTCCTGGTTACGCATTACTTTATCTGAACCATGTATTATATTTGATGAACGATTAGCCCTGTTTGTTTCTCCCTGTCAGCCAATGTTGTGTCGTTTATATTTCATCTTTACTTGTTAGTCATGAGGTACTTCGCTGATGCAAACTTCATCTTATCCAACTTCGATAAAACATAGGAAACTTGCCATAAATTGAACAGTTTGCAACAATAGTAGATCAACTTACGGTGAGACATGTCAATGTTTATTTTACATGATAGATACTCATTTGTTCCTGAAAACACTACACCTAGAGTTTGTTTGTTTAATGCCAAGTGAAATAATGCAAGAGTAGCAACTGTTACAGTTCAACCGAGATCTACCCGTTTTATGTCAGCAAGGTTGCTATATCATGGCTAAGTGTTCTACGTGTCTTTCACTGACGCAGCTTTTAAATTAATCAGGAATAATGTTCCACAGAGTCGCTGTTATCTCATATGTATGTCTTAGACACCAAACATTTGAGTTAATGAAAACATACACGGATATAGATTCATGGAACATATCATTCTCATTTGTACTTTGAGTAAAAACATTGGTCGCATCAGTATGACTGAAAAAACGCACGTAAGCATCAAATATAGTATTCGTTTTCCAAAAGTTGGAAATATATTTGGATTTTCAACGACTTTGCTTCCAGTACTCTCTTTTTTCAATGTGAATTTTCATATATATTAACACCCTAAATGTTTTGCATTTATCTTATTAAGTCAATTCGTTTTCTCAGGTCGTCATCGCAGCGTTGTCCGTGCTGGTCTGTTCCGCCGTTGCTCAGGTGCCTCTCCGCGGTAACTCCCTTGTGGGTGGGTTTTTCGGTCTTGGAGGGGTTGTTGGCAACATTGGTGTTGGTGGTAAGGGTCATGGTTACGGTTACGGCTACAACCCCAAAGGCTACAACAACTACGGCTACGGTAAAGGTGTTGCTGGTCCCTTCGTCGCTGGACACGGTGCTGGTCTTGTTGGACAGGGACCTTTCGTCGGTCATGCTGGTACATCTGCAGGAAATAGACCCTTTGCTGTAGGAAACGGACCCTTTGTTGCTGGAAAGGGACACGGCTACGGCCACAACTCCTACAACGGACTTGGCAATGGAGTTGGTCTTGTAGGAAATGGACTCCTTGGACACTCTGGACACGGCCTCGCTGGACCCCTTGCATTTGGAAACGGTGTTGCTGGTCATGGGTATGGTTACGGCTACAACCCCTACAGCAACAACTACGGCTACGGTAAGAACGTCGGACATGGTACAGGTCTTATTGGAAATGGAGTCCATGGACACACCGGGCATGGCGTTGCCGGACATGGTCTTGCTGGACCATTCTCTGTCGGACACGGTGTTGCTGGTTATGGGTATGGCAACGGCTACAACCCCTACAACAACAACTACGGCTATGGTAAGAACGTCGGACATGGTGCTGGTCTCATTGGACATGGAGTCCATGGACACACCGGGCAAGGCGTTGCTGGACATGGTCTCGTCGGTAATGGAGTTGGCCTCGGAAAGGTCGGATTCGGCGGAGTTTCCACTGTCCATTATTACTAGAGACATTTAAGAGTGATTTATGAATGAATGAATGAATGAATGAATGAATGAATGAATGAATGAATGAATGTGTTTTATACTATCGGTTTTTTAATTGACATTTCATTATTTCAAATAAAGAATACGTATTGATAATCTTATAGTTTCTTTTAATTATATCAGTGCGTCACTGTTTTTTCTATAACTCTGACAGATGTGAGTAGTGTGTATTTTCGTCGAGTTGACTCAACACTGTCACCTACTAGTTGTATTTGTAGTATTTCTTCAGAATAGAATTTTAGCATTCAAATTGTGACTTCTCAACGAATGCTCAAACAGTGAATATACATGCGACCTATATCGAATATGGTCATCCTGTTAGTAATCTGATAGGAAGTAATTTCCGTATAGAAAAAAGACATCTTACAAATAGAAATTGTCACGAAAGCACGAATATCTTTCACTATTAAGCATTCAATAGATACACATTTGCATGACACTTTTACGATACGATAAGTATAACACAACAACAAAATGTTTCTTAACATTTGGATCAACACACGGAAAAAAATGTAAAATACGATTCATATGTCAGTATTGCGAAATGGTACAGATCTGAAATATATCATTAAATATATCGAACAAATATGTACTTCATATAAATTTGCTTGTGCCTTTTCAACTTGAATAATCTTTGGTCATACTTTAGTCATACCCCAATATTAGTATCGGTCAGACGTTTAAACCAGACACTCAATATTGACAAAATATTTTTCTAGTTTGATGAATTCCCTTTGCACTTCATTGGTTTATTTTAAAGTTCAACACGAAATACATTTTCTGAGTATGCCATGAATGTTACTTCTTATTTGATGATAGAAGACGTAATACACGTTCTCTCAATGCTGAAGTTTTGGAACTCATTTGGTCAGGAACGCAACACGTGCGTGCAGGAATCCATGTGAAAACCTCTATCACTCCATATGCATAGTTCCGCATATAGACAACACAATGAACAACACAATGAACAATATTATGACAATTGTAAGCGTCTATCTATACCTGGCTCATTTTTACAAGATTAACTGTTTCAAATATATTAAATAAAACCAACTCATTTTAACTGACAAAAGCCATCATAGCGTGTAATATCGGACTATGTTCCATAATCTTTCTGTGTCGACTGATTCAGCACTCGTTTTACATACCTCTCTAACCTCGCTGCTGTCAAGACTAATTCTGAATGGTATCTATTAAGACGAATATGTGTAAAGTCAATGACCTTACATGCTGAGTATGCCATACATGTTCGTACATTTATGGCATACTCAGCATGTAAGGTCATTGACATTACTAAGAAACAGTGTTCACCTGTGTGTCAAGTCCGTGACGTCATGGTAACGCTGATCAATAATCCTCGATAGCTTTTTGTTACTTATATAGTCTTCAGCACTTATTCCTTCAAGATGTTTGTTTTGAGATGCTTTATAAATGTTTTAATCCCAAATATATTTTTAATGTATATCTCCTTCAAATATTTATCATAACTAAGTTTAGGAAACTGTGCCCATTTGATATTTCTCGACACTTTGAATATTTGTTATGAAACCAAAACGAAGGAAATGTCAAGCGTATACAGGTGTTATCAAGGCTACGACCAAAACAAGTTTTTTCTTGTCGTGGCCGCTGGTAATCCTCATGGCCAATTGAAGTCTACCCTTTTTTCTCGAATATCTCGAATATATAAAGCCAATGGAACTTTATTTATATTGTAAAAAAATTGTTTGCTTGGAGTTGAATTCCCGATCAAAATAAGTTGTTATTGTGACATTTCAAGCTCACGAATATAGTCCATATGTCTATTTAAAGGTATGCAGACGTCTATAATGTAAAAATAGACACTGTATATGCATCGCTAATTTTGCATTAAACGCGTTTTACCGCAGACAACCTTTGACAAGATGACTGATATACGGCATTCATCAAAGAAGTGGTGTATGTGTACCTAATAATTACAACTGTTACTCAAAGAAACGGAAGAATTGCATTATGTATACACAATATGTGTTTCCTTGTTTGATATTTGCACTATTGCCTGTTGTCTGTATGCATGTTTTGTTGAAAGGACGTTGTAAGTTTTCCACATTTGCAAAATACTTGAATGTACATAATATTGTTGATGAGTTAAGTATTATATAACCAGAAAAACTCAAAATCATATTAAATACAATGTATTCTATCCGGAGATTCATAATATGTATTATATGAAAAACTGGTGTGTGGTGAATGAGTTCCAATGATGTATATAAGACTCAACAAAACATACATCCCATCCTTTAGTATGGCATCTCCACACACCTTTTCAGAAAATTATTGTCAAAATATTGTTCAGTTCATCATGAAATACACATATCATTTTTTCACATGGAGCCCATTCGGAAAGAAGTTTATGAAACTGAAGACTGTTATCTTAAATTTTAATCTTGCATTGCAATTAAAACGTTAACATTTCAATAATGGGACATTTACATGCATTACACACCGGGCTTCCAACATCACATCCGATGCAACTACATGCAGCACTAACTGATCTTTATTTGTATGTTTGCGACTGTTGCAGATTTGTTTGCATCTTGTGCTTGTTTTTTTACACAACTATACTCGAAGCTGTTGACATTCAGTATGGAATTCTAAAGAGTACTTCGACAAACAAGAACAAAATTGATGTCCGATGCACATCACCATTTTCGATCCGTAGCATGTGTTTCTGGGGGTTTTCAAGTCGTTATGTGTGGATTTCCAAACTGAAACACATGTATTAACCAAAAAGCTCTAGGCAAAAGAAATCTGTGACACCAAGTAACGACAACGAATTGTTTTACAATTCACACTTTTATTTACTAAGTTTAAAGATTAATACAAATAATTGCAAAAATCAGTTCCAATGACAGTACACGATAAAGAAACAGTACGTAATTCTTGATCAGTGGCAGTACCGTTCCATATTTCCCTTGATGCATCTGTAGCTGTTCTAGAATTTATCACATTCCACCTGAAAAGTAGGACAAGCATCAAAATGTAACACCTTAGATACCCTTCATTATTTTAGATATATATAAGACAATTTTATAATCTTCTTCAAAACCTTTACAGAAACAATATATTGACATTATATTATTGTTTAACATTATATATTTCTCTGACATACAAGGTTATGAATTGATTTTCCTCTGTAGCTGTTTGTAATGGGCTACGTGTTAACAATTCATGAGGATACACGCACTTGCATCATCACTTTTCGGTCAATATTCACAAAGACATGCTTCTTACATTTTGCTTTTCTGATAATGTTATGACTGACACACTCCTTCACTCCTTTAATTCCTAAGACTTGCTTGATTTGCACTTCTCACTCGATTCGATATATGAAGAAACACACATCGACAATGAGTGAAATGTAAAATAATTCAAACTTCAATACTTCAATGACCCCCTGTTGAATATTTTCCAAAATGTATTTACATCTGTTGTCGCTATGACCTATCAAAACCGCGTCGTTGAAAACTTGCTTAATTTCAAGTATTAGCCAACAAATGTTTCCGCTAAAGTTGACTGTTTTAGTTTAATAAACCCTTGGCTATGTATTCATGATCAGTCTCAAACATGAAATAAATGAAACCTTGTAATCTCACTCACAGGCACACATACGGATTTGTAAATGATGCGCTTAAACTTCATTGTCCAAACACCAATAGTTTATTTACCATGTGCCCTAAATGTCCAAACCTTTCATTTTGCACTTCATCAACAAATTACCTTATCCCTTACAAACCTACCAGATAACTGAAATATATTCCATACATTATGAAGCAATACCTGGGATGAATTAAACATGGAAAATGTTAACATTACATGACAAAAGCAATCATTTGATCGACACATGATATGTCTTCTGAAACAAATTCATTTGAACGACAGACAGTACACTGGCCCGTCTTAAGAGGAAAGCTATGAATACTATCAACGCGTAACCCTCGGGCAATATGAATCTGTAATTAGTGTGTGATGTGTTATTGACACTTCACAATAGCCAGTATAACCACGTGGCTTTCTATAACAATAGAGTGCCTATGGTGTATGCGTATTTTGCATATTATCTTCAAATATAATGCTCATTTTAATGGCCGAACAAGTCCCTTTATAAGGACCGTCTCCTGTCTCTATCATCAGCGCCTTCATCCTGCCTTGGTCATCATCATCTGTCTCTACAGCTGCTACAAGAATGAAGGTAACTCATTCCCTGGCTTAGCAAGCTATATGAAATCAATGTATTTTATTTGATGAGCGATAAGAACTTATAAGCCTTCATTGAGGTGTACCCAAGTTCACATATGAGTACGTTTTCCCACTTTACTCATTTGTTCCTCATCGAACAAGAATCCAACTACAGCTGGTGTTAGAATGCGTGACAACATAAGTGTAATTGAAGTAGAATTGATCTATAATATATCTGATAACATGCTCAGGATACCAAGCTACAATGCCACGTATCTTGCAAATGCCTAGTATTTTGTTTAATCAATAATCACATTCCAAACCTACAGGTTATATATGTACTTATGTGATGTGTATGTATTATTGAACCGAGGATCTGAGTGCATGGAAACTGTAGCGAGCGGCGGAGATCGTGATGGACTGTTAGAATATATAGATTATACTTTGACTTTGTCAGTTGAGTGAAAAACAAAGCAAGCATTAGTGGAATTAATTAAACGTACGTGTGGAGTTATTTTTCACAAGCTGGAAATGTATTAGGAATCCGGTTGACTGTTCTTCCAAACTGTTCTTTTTAAAAGTGAATTTTCATGTTTATACCTCACCTTAATGTTTTGCATTTGTCTCATTAGCCTAATGCGTTTTTCCTCAGGTCGTCATCGCTGCGTTGTCCGTGCTGGTCTGTTCCGCTTTTGCTCAGGTACCTCTTCGTGGTAACTCTCTCGTGGGTGGGCCTCTCGGTCTTG